TGTCCCTCCATGAGCTGCAGGGGCATAGCTGCCTCACCATGGGCTGCACCAGGGGCTGCAGGGGAATCTCAGCCCTGGCACCTGGAGCACCTCCTGCCCCTCCTGTGCTGACCTTCGTGTCTGCTGAGCGGTTCCACTCACATATTTTCACCCCACACTTCTTTGGCTGCAATTAAATCTGTGCAATACCTTTTTTTCCTTCTGAAGCACGTTACTACAGAGGTGTTAACACCATTTCTCATTGGCCGAGCCTTGTCCAGCAGCACATCTGTCCTGGAGCTGGCTGGCATTGGCTCTGCTGGACATGGAGGAAGCTTCTGGCAACTTTTTACAGAAGTCACCCCTGTAGCTCCCCCTGCTACCAAAGCCATGCAAACCCAATATGTAAGTCTATTTTCTCATATATCAATGACTGTGCATATTTATTTTTTTTTAGAAAGTAATTTCATGAGATCTTTTTTAAATTTCTGTTCATTGAGGTTTCTATAGTGCTTTTCATTCTCTTCTGTCTCTTGCACACTTTGCTACTTTTACTTCACGTTATTTTTTCTTAATACTAAATAGGATCTTCTTTCAGGAAAGCTTACATATAATTATCTCTGTTTTCTGTGCAAGAAATACATTAATTAAAATTGGAAAAATAAAGCTGCTCAGTGAATAATGATGTATATACTATGAAGTGGATGTGATTTGTGCTCCGCAGATGTGATGCTTTTATTACCCACCCTTGGGGACCTACCAGAGCGAACAGGAACCTCTCTATTCTTCTCTTAGCATTATTTCAAGGAGAAGCAAAGGTGTATCAGTAGGACTGACTAGCCCAATATGAAGTATGGCTAGCTTATATATGTGATTTTGAGACAAAAATAGAATGTTCAGATGTGGAATGCTGTGCCATGCACAACAGAATTTTGGAAACAGGAGGAGAACAGAATTTTCTGATGCTCACTCGAATCACAGCATCTCATATCCAGTTCCTCTTGCCAGCTTTCACCAGTGGAAGCTGTTCCTCTATTAGGCAATGTTTGATGAGTTTTATACTGGTAAATTGTTATGTTGTTTGTTAACTGTTTCAACAGCCTCCGTAAAGAGGCTTTATAATGCTTTCCAGGCACAGTTCAGCTTCTCATGTTATCACTGTAATGACTCATCCAGTTTTCTAATATAAAACCAATTCTGGCTTTCAGCAGATCTCTTCTGGATGAGGGGAAATTTAGGAGGTTGCAACTAAATGAAAGTACTATTTCAAAGTTAGTATTCATGCTTCCTGACCTTGTGCCACTTAATGGTTAGTAAGAAAAATGTATTATTTTGTATCTGTATACATTATTATTTGTATTTGTATACATTACTATATTCTATGTGACCTGCTCCCAGACTATATCACATCAAGAAGACATAACAGGTGATTTTTTGATATTTTAATTGCTTGTTTTCTGGTACTTACTCTGTAGAATAGATCTGTTCAGTCTGTGGCCATTTTTTTTGTTTTTCCTAATGTCTTACTGTGGTTAGACAGCAAAGAACCACACAGCTCCTTCATCACTCCCTCTCAGTGCAGTATAGGAAGGTAGAAGAACTAATACAAACATTCAACAAAAAAAAGTTTCACACTTGAAGGCAGACATTTCCCTCTATTCTTTCTCACAATCATCCTGAGACCTTAGTGTTTCCCATTCTTGACTAGGTACATTTTTAAATTAAATGAGCTCTCACCTTTTTTCATAATTCCCTAAGTCAGCTCAAGGCAATGGTATTTTGTAAATGTTCTTAGAGGAATCAATAATAAATATTTTCTCAATTTTAAAAAAAAATTAATTTTTAGAAAAATTCAGTTGAATTTTTCAAAAGCTAGTTGCACCGGTCAGTTCAAAACTTTTAGTATGTGATGAATCAAAAAGAGGAACATCTGTTACTGTAACTGAAGCCAATTGGAGAAAGGTTAAGGTACCTAAAATTAGTGAATAATTTTGTTATCATGGGAAAAACATAATTTTCTGTTATCACAGAATTTCTTTTACAAGTTTTTCTTCCCTTCCTCAGGTCCTCCCCAGGTATTATAAATCCCAAAGATCCTAAGCCCTTAATGGGCTGTTTGTGGTTTTTATTCAGCATAACACGGGTCTTTAAGGGAGTAAGGATTTCCAGTAAGCCTTCCAAGTCTAGGGCTCCTGCCCTCTAGATTTTATTTTCACTTAAAAATTGACAGAAAAGGCAAGAGGCCAGATTTATTGCATCTTTATTCAGAGCAGATGGAAGCAGATGAAACTATAAACAGCAAAGTAGCTGAGCATGGAAGTTAACTAAAACACTAAAGTGAAGCTGTTAAATCTGACACAGGGACTAAAGATACACTTCAGAAAACATTGTTGCTGAATTAAGCACTGACAGAAAGCAGAAGCTGATTTCATAGGACAATGAAAACCAAAAAAGTTTTCTAAAAATGTTAAAAAAAGATATTAATAAATAAGCAGTGTTAATTTAGAAAAGCATCAGATTAGTTGGTCTAATGAGCCGTAGAAACTGCCAGTATAATGCATTCTTGATTTTCATCATAAAAGAAAATGTGTAAATTTTGCCCTTGGTGAGTAAACTACTTCTGAACATGAAGAAAATATTTCCTTTTAGGGCCCATAAACCTGCCTCTAATTTTGTCTGCATAAAACTATAAATCATAAAAAGACCAGCTATGAGGGGAGATAATTTTGAAAGTATTGTCAATAATCACAGAATTATAGAATCATAGAATAGCTTGAGTTGGAAGCAAACTGAATGATTATGTGGTTTTGCTATGGACACCTTCCACTAGACCAGGTTACTCAATGCCCCATCCAAACTGGCCTTAAATTCTTCTGAGGTAGGATTGTCACAGCTTCTGTGGGCAACCTGTGCCACATAGTGTCTCACCATGCTCGGTGTAAAGCATTTTTCCTCATATCTAATCTAAATTGACCCTCAGTTTAAAACCATTCCCCCTTGCCCTGCACCACATGCCCTCATGAAAAATCCCTCTTCTTCTTTCCTATAGTCACCCCTTAAGCACTGGAAGGCTGCAATAAGGTCTTCCTGGAACCTGCTCTTTTCCAGGCTGAACAACCTTGTTGCTCTCTAAAGGTGCTCCAGCCCTCTAATCTTTGTGGCCCTCATCCAGACTCACTCCATGTCCATACTCACGAGATCAGGGCAGAGGAGCAGAATCACCTCCCTAACCCTGTTTGCCGCGCTGCTTTTGACACAGTGTTTTGCTTTCTGAGCTGCAAGTGCACATTACCAGCTCTTGTTGAGCTTCTCATCAGCCAACACACCTAAATCCTTCTCCTCAGAGCTGCTCTCAATCAATTCTCTGCTCAGTCTGAACTTGTGTTTTCAATTTCCCCAACCCATCTGCAGAACCTTGCATCTGACTTTGTTGAACTTGATGAGGTTTGCACAGAAGCACATCTCAAGGCTGTTCCTCTGGATGGCATCCCATTCCCCCAGCATGACTGTGACACATGACACAGCTCTGTGTTCTCAGCAAACTTGATGAGGGAACATTTGATCCCACAGTCATGATGTTGATGAACAATGTCATCAACAAAGATATTAAACAGACCAATCCTAATACTGATCCCCGTGGAACATCACTCATTACTGCTCTCCACCTGGAGATGGAATCATTCACCTAAGTACAGCCATCCAACCAATTCCTTATCCTCTGAGCATTCTATCCAGGTCTCTCCAGTTTAGAGACAATGATATCATGTGGGACAATGTCAAATGCTTTGCACAAGTCCAGGTAGGTGGTGTCACTCTTCCCTTATCTACCAAACATGTAACCCCATCATAGAAGGCCACCAAATTTATCAGATATTATTTGCCCTTATTTTAACCATCTTGCCTGTCACCCACCAGCTCCTATTTTTAGACATACTTTAGCATCATTTCCAGGAGGATCTGCTCTATGATCTTGCTAGACACCAAGGTCAGACTGACTTTTTGTTTCCAGGGTTGTCCTTTTTTCCCCTTTTTAAAAATGGGGTTTTCAATCACTGTGAACTTCACCAGACATCCATGACCTCTTAAACATGATGGATTACACCTGAGTCACTTAGAAATCAGTGCCTCTGCACCTGTAGATGTGTCTCATCAAATCCCATGGACTTGTGCACTTTCAGGTGAAAGTGGTTTCCTACAGCAGGCAGTTCTTCATTCACCCAGTCCCTGCCTTTGCCTTCTGTGGCCTGGGTGGTGTGGTTGGAGCACATGCCAGTGAAGACTGGGGCTAAAAATTTGTTGAATACCTCAGAATTCTTCATATCTGTTCTAACCAAGTCTTTTGTTTCCCCCTGGACAGGGCCTGTATTTCCATAGTCTTCATTCTATCACCAATTTAGCTATACAAGAGTTTCTTGTTGCCCTTGAATTCCCTGTCTAGATTTAATAATATGATACTTTCCTTTACTAACATGTTCCCCAGTGCATGGACAATCACTCTGTGTTCTTCTTCCAGGTTAACTCTCCTTATTTCTACCCTCTTTGGGCTTTACTCTAGGTTTCAGTTTTTCCAGGAGCTTCTTTTTAATCCATACAGGCCTCCTGGCATTTTTTTCCTGTTTTTTTCCTTGTTGGCATGCATTGCTCCTGACTTTGGAGTAGGTGATCCTTGAACATTAACCACCTTTCCTGAGTTTCTTTTCCCTCCAGGGCTTTATCCAGTGATGGGCTACCAATATGCCTGAAGCTCAGGGTAGCAATCTTGCTGTGCACTCTCTTGACTAATCTCTTTCAAACTCCTTCCTTTTGACCAGTAGAACTGATGAAAAAACCCTGTGCTCCAGAGAGCCTTACTGCCTGTCCAAGGACTCTATAATACCTGGTCCTCCTCAGGCTGCTCCTGTCTATCACTGGTGCCCACACAGAGCAACAGTAGCAGGGAATAGAGGACTGTACAAGGATTGGTGTTCTCTCTGTGACATCCCTGATACGAACCCACAGAAAGCAGAACACCCCTCTAGAGAGTGTGTAGGGCCCACAGACATTGCCCTCGTACCTCTCAGAAGGGAGCAGCCTGCTGCCACCACCCATCATCTGTTGTGTGAGCTACCAGCTCCTGGGAGGTCTCTGCACTCTGCTGGGGCTTTCTGATTTCAGGACCCACTCTGGTATGCTGAGATCCCCCACTTCACCGTGAAATCCTCCTGAAGACAAGCTTATCACCTTGACAAGCAAATTCATCACTAAGATGCCCTTTCTTTTAAGAAGTGTAGGTACTTACTAGTTGCTGTGGTAGTCACTGGCAACGGTGTCTGCCTTAAGTGCATTATAGCACAAAACATGTTTCAGGTACAGTTTGTTTTGCTCCTGGCATGCTAACTGAAATGGTGCAAGGCTGCCTGCTTATTTACACATCTCTCCCCCCACCTCTCTCTATTTCTGATAGCCAGGTTTACATCCTGCCTGAATTAAGACTGCAGTAGGTGAAAGCGTCTATAATCTCTCATGGATGCCTTGAATTAGTAATGATGCTTTTAGAGGCAGTAAGACAGTGGTGTCCAATTTCTTTCTGTTATTTCCCATTTCAAACATAATATAAAGAAAATTTGCCATCTCAGTTGTTAGAATTTTCTATGATTTTTAAAGTGATGGCACCTGTATTTCAGACCTAATTAATATTTGATTATAATCTGTTTACAGTAGAATGAGTTTATAATTCTTTAAATTCATATGTATTGGGTTTTCATGGCAAGGTTTAGGTATTGAGGGGGCTGTAGGTGTGGCAGCAGTAAGAAGCTGCTAGAAGCTTCCCCTGTGTGTGACATAGCCAGTGCCAGCTGGCTCCAAGACAGACCCACTGCTGGCCAATATTAAGTCCATCAGTGATGGTAGTAGCACTTCTGGAATAACATAGTCAAGAAGGAGGAGAAAAACCCAATTGGGCAGCTGCAGGCAAAGAGAGAAGTGAGAATGCGAGAGAAAACAGCTCTGCAGATGCCCAGGTCGGTGAAGGAAGAGCAGGAGGTGTTTTAGGTGCAGGAGCAGAGATTCCTGTGCAGGCTGTGGTAAAGACCATGCTGGGACAGGTGTGCCCCCACAGCCCATGGAGGTCCATGGTGGAGCAATTTCTCTACAGCCCCTGGAGGATTCCACACCAGAGCACGATCCCTGAAGGACACTTTGACTCCATGTGAAACCTAACTGGAGCAGGTTCCTGGCAGGAGTTCTCCTGGCACCTGTGGTCCTGTGGAGAGAGCAGCTCATGCTGGTGAGAAGTGTTGTCCCAGAGAGGGTTGCATGCTGGAGCACTCTGTTCCTGAAGGAATGCAGCCTATGGGAGGGATCCTTGCTGGAGTATCTAATGAAGAACTGTAGCTTGTGGAAGGACTCCTGTGGGGAATTTTATGCAGGACTGTCTCCTGTGGCAGGGGAAGAGTGTGAGGATCTCCCCTTGCAGAGGAAAGAGCAAGAGACAATGTGTGATGGATTGACCAGAACCCCCATTCCCTGTGCTGCTGGCAGAAGAGGATTCAGGAGTGAGGCTGAGCCTGGAAAGAAGGGAGTAGGGGAAGGTTTTTTAAGATTTTTTTTCCATTTCTCATTATGCTACTTTGAATGGATTAGCAATAAATTAAACTAATTTCCCCGAGTTGAGTCTGTGCTGTCCACAATGATAGCTGGTGAGTGGTCTCTTCCTGTCCTTGTCACCAGCCTTCTCTTAAATTATCCTCTCCCCCATCCAGCTGAGGAGAGGTCCGATAGACCCACTTTGGTGGACACCTGGCAACCACCTAGGATAAGTAAGCCCAACACACCATAGAATTTTGATAAAAATAAAACCCAGGAAAATATAAATAGATGTAAATGTTATGAGGATGAGAAGGGCATTCTAAATTTCAATTATTCTCTTTGAAATATTCTAAATATATTTATACAAAGATGAGGTCATTTAGAAATAAAGCTTCTTGGCTTTCAAATAGGCTTACAGAGGAGAAAGAAGTTAATTTGATGTGTCCCTGCAGTTTCTGTTATGAAAAAATGAGTGTGATGAGGTGACAGTAATTAACATCATCATGTGAAGAAATGACACCATCCATGTTCTCTTTCAGGGAATATAAAATGGATTGTTGATTGTAAAGCTAAGAGGCAGATCAGAGTACGAAGGGAATGGCACTTTTGGTAGAGAAATTTTAAATCCCAGACATCTCAAAAATAAAAGCCAGCAGAATAGAAACTGCAGATTGTTTAGTCACAGGAACATATGGCATCATGCAAAATACTGAAACTGAATGATTAAACAGACAGACTGAACATTTATATGCATGGTACAGAGCTTGTAGCCTATTTAAAGTCAAAGATAAGTACTAATTCTAAAAGCTAATGAAATCAGAAGATCATTTCTGGAAGCAATAGGCACAATTTTATGATGTTGAGTACCTTGATTACCTCAATTAGTTGCATAACATGGATTTACCAGAATTTGCTTGTAAGAGTCATTTTTGGCTAGCAGAATATGCCGAGGTAGTTGAGTGTGTGTGTCTGTGCACATGTGTCCTTTACATTGTGCCCAACAGTATACTTTATGTATACATAAAAGAAAAAATAATTTAATTTTGTTTGTCCTTGAAGATTGGTGTCTGCAGTGCTGGTGTTACAACATGAAAAGTGCCTGATTCCTGCAGAGCTACTGTGAACTCTATATAGAAATTGGAATTTATTTATCTCCATGGTATCTGAAAAAATTATACAGGGACCAATATTTTCTGCAATAAATAAATAGCTGAAATACATTGCATGAGACAAGACATGCTCTACTATTTAGCACAAACTTGGCAGAAAACTATGAATGCTTTCTAGTCTTTAACAGAGTCATAATCTGTGCTGGGATAATTTTTTCGTTTGTTTCCTCTAAGTTTTTTTTGTCACTAGGCATGTGAAGTCAAAAAAACCCCAAATGCTTCAAATATGCGTGAAATGTGTGAAAAATATTATTAATAAAAATAGATCTAATTTATTTGCTTTTAGATGAAGATCTGACTCTCCTGAAGCAAAAGAAAAATGATTTTATCCTCTCGGGATTTTGTTCAGGTGATATGTTTACTTAAGAATTTTTTAAGAATATTATTACTTGTACTGCCTTTTGGACAGCTATAAACTACAGATGTATAGACTTAGATCTAGGTTTTTGTTGCAGTGATTGCTTGCATATATACCATGTGGTTTTTATGACACACAATCCTATAATTTTATGGGGTTTTGTTCATGTTTTCTTTTTGATTTGGTGTTCTTTCTTTAGTTTGATTAGACTTACAGTTTGTATAGTCATGACTATTACAGAATAGTTTTACATCAGAACAAGCAAGATAACTTCTTGGGAGGCTGCCAGATAAGTGCCAAGAATAAAATAAAATAGATTTTAATATCTGTTTGCTATAGTCAACATTTTGATGCCTCATGTTCACTTTTTAGTATTAACTGTAGGATGAGCTCCTACTGAGCTATTTATCCAACTGTAATTTTTATCTAACTGTGCTTTTCAATTTTCATAGCCTAAATTCTCATATTTTTTTCAGTTAAAGCATACACAGAAGAATGTTTATGGTGCATGAAGTGGCAGGTACACATTAACCTCTAGTTAATTTAATACTTTTGCCACTGCCTGTTAATATACTTAATTGTTGTTTTCAAACAGTAGTTATCTTATATCCAGATATTCCAGTAAATACTGTGTAGACCTTTGAGGAAATCTATCAATAAGCATAATTTTCAAGAAAGAATTGAAAATATTAAGGAGTAAAGAATTACCATTAGATAATGGGACAAATCTTATGTATATATGTAAAAGTGACAAAAAATAATAGAAAAAAAAATGCCCTGCTTGCATTTCTTTATTCCATTGTCACTCTTTTTTCCTTAGGGGCAGGTGGCATGAATATATTGTTCCTCTAACAGTCGTCTTTAGAGCTGGCCAGATGAGGAGGAATGGTTGGTTTAGTGCTGCTAACCTGTTTTGTGTCTTCTTTTACTGATTTTCTTGTTCCCAACATCTCTACTGTAATTGTGCTGAAATAGTTGTGCTGAAAAGTAAGGCTTTTGCAAGTGTTAATTTAGCAGCTGAAAAGATGATAGATTAAGCTCCTTTAATTCTGGTCACTGCTTCCCTAGAGCACTGCTCCATGTGGAAGGTATACAAATAATCATTAATGAAGCCATAATGAATCTATTCAGTAGATCACAATGATCAAATAACAAATTTTTGGCTACAGTGGTGTTTTTTTTGAGAAAGTTAATCTTTTTTGTCAGAATTACAATGTGCTGACCAGAACAACATATTTCATTTGCCTCCTTCTGCAATGTTGGGTCAAAATGTTAGAAAGAGAGCAAGCTGTAATAATTTCCACACTATTGATACCTTCCCTCAAGTCTGAACCCTTCTGATTCAGATTCAAATACCAAATCAAACCATAGCATAAGAAATCCAAACCTCTGGTCAAATACTTCTATAATTATGTATTGTGATCACTATTTTCTGTGAAAAGTAAAATTTTCCTGGTGCCACTCTCACTGCCAACTTTTAGTGAGGGCAACACTAGAAATGCAATTCATATGGCTAATAATTCTAAATCCCTTTTACTGTTCCTATACTACTCCCAAAACACCTTTTCTGTCAGCAACTAAACTATTCTATAAAATATGAATGACAAAAGAGAAATTAATATTCTTTGTTCAGAATGTATGATTCAATCTTCTAAGTACCTATGTAGAGCCATGTGAAATTCAGCAGGGAATTTTTACTTCAAGCGATGAATTATATCTCACTCTGAATGGATTTTTTTCTGCTATTTAGATCCTTGAATGTGTAGCAATCTACTTGAAACACTGGGAAATTTATGCCTATTTTCCATCCCAGTTCATTATAAAAGCTTGCCACTGAATCCAGTGGTAACTGGATGGAGTCCATGATGCCTGGGACTACAGCTATAGTAAGAAGAACTGGGAATTTATAAGTAAGCAGTTATTATCCATGTTCTTACATTTTATTCAACTGTCAATCCTTATGGATAAATTTATGTCAACTTACAGTTAAGTTAAGCAGCAATTAGGTTTTCCCATTAATTTATAGACAAAGATAGGTTCCTCTAAGAGGCATATTGCTGGTTATCTTATCAGGGATGAGTTACTCTTTAGAGATGTTGTTGGTCTTCATTTGGAGTTGAAGTTCTTGGATATAAAGTTAAAGACGTGGATATAAAAAGGTACGACACAAGCTTGAAACCAAAAGAATTTTGGAAGGAGATTAAAATTACTCAAGCTACGAATAATCGAAGTTATTAAAACTTTGTATCACTTTCAGTAAGACCAAAGTGTATCCAGGGGCAGAGACAGGATGGCTAATGGAAGTGTCAGAATAGAAATGGAAATTACCACATCTAGGGAGGAAACAGAATTCAGAGTTTAATGTCCTCTGGTCAAGACATTTATTGATTGTCACTGCAGAATAATGAAAAACTGGCACATTTTAAAATTTTGATGAGTAACTTATTTATCAAATTTGGAGTATACCTGTAAAATAACAAACCATGTACTTTAATTAATAGAAAGAAAAAATAACCCTGAGAAAGAGGAACCCATGCTTTAAATTCAAGAGCATAGAAACCTTTGGAATAAATTAGGAAGTAATAATTCTAGAAATAGAAATTAATGAAAAATCAAAACCATCTTTTAAAAGATAGATAATACCAAGATAACTTGGTATCTTTATTTGATAGAATAATTGATTCCCTGGATATGAGAGAAGTAGAAAAATATAACTTATCTTTTTATGAAGTGCTGGAAGTGTTTAACTATAGAAAAATATTAAAGTGTTGAAGATGTAGAATTAATTAAAAAAACTGATGCTTATAAAAAACTAAATAAGAGAACTTCTTAAGTCTGCTATCATTTATGCATTATATATTATTTTTATATTTTGTGACCGTGCTAAATTCTTTGCTTGCAAAAATAAACCCATTTCTGATCTGAAGGTCTTCAGTGTAAATTGTTTCAGGATAGTATTAGGAGAATCAGGAAGAACTGCTTGGTCAGTTAGAAATGATAATGATAAAACTTCAGAAAAAATGCATTAAAAAATACAGTGCAAAAGTTAAACATTTCAGTTCTGTTAAATCATTTATGTTACAGGAATATGTTTGCTCCTTGTCCCAATTCTTGGGTCAGAACTAGTCCTATAATCATTAGGTAAATTATAATCATTAGGCCCTATTCATAACCATGGTAAAAAGGCATAGCTGCTCTGAACTCCAGAACACGCACAGGTTTACAGTACCTGAGGTCTGCCCCATGGATAGGTATGGCTCATATGCAAAATACCCTTCAAATATTAACAAGCTCCTGGCTTCTTAGAAGGGACTCATTTAGAAATATTTTGAATTTATGACAGACTTGTTCTGCAAAGGAGTTGCACAACTGATTTCATGATCCAAGTGTTATTGAAACCAAAGATAACTATAAGAATTGCAATAATTTTTCTTTCATATACACCAAACTAGAGCTTTTCTTAGAGCTTTCTGACTTGTTATCATGTAGAAACTTTCCTTCATTACCATGGATCAGCTTTCCTTCATTTCCCTACGAATGCATCTTACTTTTAGGGATGAAACAATCTTTTGTATATGATTATGGTTACACGTATGTGTACATATACACACATATACACTAAAAAAATGTAAGAATCAGGAATCATATTTCACTGTAATGGGTATGTTTAAAAAACATTATAAATAATGCTTGTAATGGTAAAATAAACTTTTCTAGACTGGTACTTGTTATCAACACATTTCACGCAAAGCTTTTGTTCTCATTATTAACCATTATCATTACATAATCAAAGCCATCATTTCCCAGCAAGCACACTCAACATTTTCTGCGATTACAGAGTTAACCTGTGTAATTAGCAGTGATGGCAACAGTACTTCATAGCCTGTCACCACAGTGCAGATGACCAGGCCAAGAGCTCTTTAATAAAAGAGATGAAGTAAACATCTCCTCACTTTTACCCCTCTCCAAGTTCAACAGCTTGTTCTTTTACAAGGTGGTTGATTTTCAAGTCAATTCCCAGTCCTTGCCTCCCACCCTGAGCTACACACTGCCTGAACATGGGAAAAAAATGATTTTCCAATCTGCAGCACATGCCTCATCCTGTTGCTTGGCTGCTGCTCCCTTGCCTAAAGGAGAAGCAGTCTTCACAGGTGCTTTTTTCTAGGATGAGTAATGATCCATCAGTGCATTGCTAGTAAAGCTGTTGGGTGCACAAAAGATTTTACAGGTATGCTGACATGCTATTTCATACAGATTCATGCTAGTTCATTCTTTCAGTACTTGTCTGTCAGAATAACAAGAAAAACTATAAAATGTCTTAGAAGAGACGTTTTAAAACACCATAAGGCTGAAAGCTTTTTATTACATAAAATTATATGAAATTTGGATGTTTTTATTTTTATCAGAACCTTCTTAAAGCAGTAATTTTGTAACTTTCAAAACAGCTATGCTATAGCACTCCCTGGTGCAGTGGGGATGGAATTTGTTTATCCAGTTCTAAATCAAATATGGTAAAATTGTTTCCTGGAACAGGAAATTGACTCTGAATCTACCTTTACACAAAGTATTTTTCTTTTCTATTTTCATTATCATGGGCCATGTTTTATGAATACTGCTTTGTGGCACAAATATATGAAAGAAAATGTTCCCTGATCTATAGAAAGAATGCTTCTGTAAAATGTATATTTCTTAATTCTGGCCTTTGGATATATAAAAGCTGTCAAAAAATTACTCTTTTCTCTGAACCCACAAAGGAATTGACTAGTGATTAAGTCTTTGTCTTCTTTAATTTTTTTCATAGCTTCTAGTTATGTAGCTATTTCACTCAACCCTGATAGACTTCAAACACTTTACTGCTGATTTAGCCATACACATATCTAATTGTATCAAAAGGTTGTGAAGTCACAGTTGTTTTAAGTCTCTCACTGAAATGTGTGACTGTAATATTGTGAGAAATGTCTATTTTTCATTGGTTAATACATTTTATGGCTGAATAACAGATTGTCATTCAAATTGATTGTTTCACTTAAAATGTTTAACTGCTGAGGTGGATTGCTTTGGTACACCATTACTCAAAGCAGAGAATATACATTTTAGAAAGGTTTTAAAATGGAGTAATTAAATGATATTGAAGTATGGTCACTGGCTTACTAAAAGGAAGGCCAAAGCCTGCTGACCATATTTTAAAGTTATTCCATTTTTTTAAAATGAATACTCATAGAAATCAGTGTAGCATGGATGTTTTCCTTGCCACTATATACATCAGGTAAAGGAAAAACAATGGGGTTCTGAAGGATTTTATTATAATTTTTGTATTATTATTATTATTATTATTATGGTTACATAATAATATTATGAATTAAAAAGATATATTTGTTAGTTATATGAAAAGGGAAAGATTGCCTCACCAAAAGCTCATATAAAAATTGAATTTTTTTTTTAGATACTAGGTACACTAATAGATACTATCCATTACAGGAAGTGGTTGCAAATTAAAAAATATATTTGATTTAGCTGTTGTCTGCCTTGAACCTCTCCCTCAGAGGCAAAGCAGCGAGGCATTCTGTTGCTCCATCTTCTTGGGACTTGGGAAAAAAAAAGAAAACAGGTAGAGGAGCAATGATGTCAAAATTAGCCATATTGTATTGGTTGTGATTTTTATCAACAATTGAATCTTTAAATACAAGCACAGAGGGATCCATGACCAAACCCAGCAATAGGAGAGAAGCTGATGAGCTCATGATAATGGAGTTAGACCATTGAAACTGTTTCCTTGGTATGTATTTCCTTTTTTCTTTCATTTTTCTTAAAATTATATGTTTAGAAATGTTTTCCTTTGTTTAGATTAAAATAGTTTTATGTATGTTTGAACCCTGGGACTTAGCAGTAGAATGGAAACCCTTGATAATTAAATATTGCAATAAACAACATTTTAACTGTTTAGGAAATGCTTTTACATTCAGTATAAGAAATACACATTTTGAAATGTAGAATTTTCACCTGAAATGCAAATGCTACAATGTCTAATGAATGGACTGCTGTCTTGGCATCTTGATTCATAGCACCTTAGCTAAAGAGACAGACTCCTCATCCAATCAGTAGAGAAAATAAGTGCCTCTGAAAAACAATTTTAGACAGTCTTGGTGATGGGTACGTCCCTAGAATGATATAATACTTTCATAGACTGCACAGGGACTTGTCTAGACCCAGCAAATAACAAAGCACTAGATATTGAGTGTATTAGAATTAGCATATGCAAGTTTGGAGTAAAATATTCCTCCACCAGAATTTACTGATGACCTTGCTTTGCAGAACAGATGCCTAGTAGTTTGCAATGATTTTCTATGGACCATTACATCAGCATAGAAAATCCAGAGCCTTGTCTATATATCTTTTACTCCCATGTCAAGGAAGGATGGAGGAGAGTTAGTGCTACTACTTCATTAATGAATACAGACAACACAAGGACAGAATGAATCAACTTTTACTCTAGTGGCAGAACTATATGACTTTTTCTCGCAAGGAAACTGGGCAACATACTTGAAGAAACCTGCTGGGAATATTTTTTGGACATAATGAAGTAGTAAGAACTTGCGTTTGGATTGATAATATCTTTCTTTTGATTCTGTGCAGGCATCTGTAGTGACTGCAGCAAGACCAATATATTTCCATGCCTTCTGAAAACTGGCCTAAGTAAACTTCTCCAAATTGTGCTAAAACCTTTCTGCTGTAGTGTTTCAAGACAGATACCATGTACTGAGTTACCAAATCCTTCACGGGATGATCAATGGTTTCCTTGGTTTCTTTGATACAGAAGAAATGAGAGGATAAAGGAAAAAAAGAGAAAGAAACCCCCCCAGTGTATTTTGGCTGTCTCTTTGACTCTCATAGCAGAGGAGCAGGGAGCTAGAGCAGAACTGTTATGCTGATTTGTCTTGGCTAGAAAATCCTCTAGGGAGGGTGCAGATCAGACAGGTGTAAAAGCTGCAAAATCAGGATGTGAACCACATTTAACACTGGCAGCACACAGTGACAAGATGCTAAAAAAAGTGTTTTTATCTATGGTGTATCCAGATTCTTAACAATGAAATAATATTCTGAGGTCATTCAGTGCCACTCTTTTGTGCAGGGATAATGCTCAGCTTTCTGAATGTGCACCTTTAAATTTATTTTGAAGCCACTCGTTCTACCTATTTATTTACCTACTTTTAGGCATTTCTCAGCAATTTGCTCTGTAGCATCTGCCCTGTAGAAGGGCATCGTGATTTATCTACAGCTCTGAATATATTACTTGTTAACCTTTACGAACACCTAGTGTGACTCATTCCATCTTATCACAGCAGACGTCAGTGGGAGTAAGCATCACTCAACAGGACAACCAGTTTGTACAAGATATAGGTGCGTGTACAAAATGTACCCAGATAAAAGAGTCAGTTAATTTTTAAACTGTTAAAAAGGCATATTAATACAACAGTGCAGTCTGCCCTGGGATATGAGCCATGTGCATTGGTAGACACAATAAGAGGATGAAGAACCTCACAATAGCCTAAATAAATGAACAAGAGAAATTCATTGTAATCATCACAATTGTATCTCTAATAAAAACAAAACAAAACAAAACTCAAACAAACAAAAAACCAAACAAAAGCAAACACAACAAAAAAACAAAACCAAAAACAAAGAAAAAAAAGCCCCCACAAAACAAATTGCTTCAGCCCTTTATGAGTCTTTCCCTTTTTCCAGGAATTCCAGTGTTGTTAAAACAGACACTGCAGATCACCTGAGAAGTTCCTTGTTTGCTGTATTTCTCTGGCTAATGCTGAGTTCTACACACCTTGTAGTGTAGAACTACACTACAGGCTTGGAAAGCACTGCACTTAATTTAACTTTCAGTGGTTTGTCCATGCTGCAATTTCTAAACTTTTTGTGCTCATGGAGCTGAAATTTTCTAAGACATGTACTTAAGCATGTATATTGTCCTTCGGATTGATTTATATTGTTAGATTCATGAAGGTCTTCAGAAAACCAGCAGTGCACTCACAAAGCCAAATTTCTGGCAATTTATTCTAAACTGGGCAAAATAAGAAATAAAAGTATATAATCCACGTAATCTGTTGAACCAATTTAAACACATGCAAGCAGGCAATCAAAGTTAGGATGACTGTTGTCTCTTCCAAGTCAAGATTATTTTGTGAGGACAATTGTCTTCAAATTTCACTTCCAAAAAGAGACTTTGTGAAGGTTTCCCAGGAACTTTCTTTCTTTAATGGATGGAATTGTAAGAATAGTCCAAAGCAATCATGATAGACATCATGACCAGATATGGTTGTGGGATCATCATAGTATGATTTGGGTTGGAAGGGACCTTAAAGACCATCTAGTTCCAACCTTCTGCCATGGGCAGGGACATCTTCCACTAGACCATCCAAACTGGCTTTGAGCACTTCCAGGGATGGGGTTTCCACAACTTCTCTGAAGCACCTGTTCCAGTGCCTCATCATCCTCACAGGAAAAAAATTCTTTCTGATATCTAATCTAAACCTGCTCTTTTTCAGTTTGAAGCTTGATGTCATCGGCATGTTTGCCAAGGGTGCACTTGATCCTTTCATCTATGCCTAATAATATTAATAAGTGTTCCAATATTAGTGGAAGCACTAAATAACACCTGTTCCAATATAGATCCCCTGACGGACACCACTTGTCACCAATGTCCATTGGGACTCTGATCCATGAACAGCTATCCTCTAAATGTACCCAACCAATTCCTCATCCACCTAAGAGTCCACCCAGTGAATCCATCTCTCTCCAGTTTAGAGAGAAGGAGGGGACCCATGTCAAAGGCTGTAGTGAAGTCCAGAAAAATGACATCTGTAGCCCTTCCCTTGTCCACTCCAGCACAGAAGGATGCTGGGTTGGTCAGGCAGGACTTGTCCTTGGTGAAGCTGTGCTGGCTATTCCAAATCACCTCCTGTCCTCCACGTGCCTAAGCACAGCTTCTAGGAGGAGCTTCTCCATGATTTCCCCAGCCTTTTGAGGTTTTTTTAAATTATATGTTTTGACCTGGACACATTAACTACAAATATTAAATTTGCACTGTACTCAGCAGCCACTGTCTCAAAATAAGGTCTTTAAAGCCATACAGAGAGGCATTTTTTTTTAAATTATGACAAATGCCATGTGTTTGAATAAGATTGTTCCTATATCCTACAGTAGTTCACCTTAGTAAGTCTAGTAAATTTGCTGTTAGGAAGATTTCCTCCACAACCAACAACTACAAGAATTTAGGAAGTGCTTAAACATTTATCTAGGTGACTGAATTAGGGGCCTAAGAAAGACAGTAAGTTACTAGGATCTTAGATTTCTAAATAAATTTTAGATGCCTTAGAGACTCTTTAAACAAGTTGTAGGTACCTACAAGAGCAGCCAAAGTTAAATGCCCAAGACAAGGCTGGGTGAATCATATATTGGTTTATTAATGTTACACTGTAGCATTTGACTATGCACAATTGTTCAGCTTAAAAAAAAATATTTAAAAAAGTCTATCTTTCCCACTATTGCATTGTTGATCTTGAGAATTTTCTATGTATGACAAATTTATGATATCTTGTTGTTTTATCTTACTATCTTGTCGTAGCTAGTTTGTTTGTGAAAAGAAAATTCTACTCCATCCATACAAGAGTAGCCCTGGGCATGGAATGTAAATCATTTACAATATTGCCCTAATGAAGCAGAGGCTTTCAGATTAGAAGAGACCTTCGCAGTCCAAAGCTAACATGGCTTTTCAGCATTGAAAATTTTTGATAATGAAGTTGTCATAGATTGGATTACCTTGGTAATGATGTATCTGCTTTTGACATAGAATGTCAGGTTGCAGCATTTACTTAAACTTACTTTGTGCTTTGTAGTCTGACATGGTATGACTCACACAGCTTCCCTTGATATGTCTTAAACTGACACCTTGCCATAGATATGCAAATGCTCCCATTTTCTGAAAAGAGCAATTAATATACTCTTGGTAAACCAAGAGTTCTACAGAAAAATACTGATATTTTTCCTCATTTCCAGGATATAAATGGTATGATACAGGATTTTCTACCACACTTTAACATTTCTTTAAATATACAGAAGTACTTCTACAACAACAAATAAGTCATAGTGCTCCAAAAACTATATTTTGCATAAGACTGGAAACATGCTGGTAAACACTAATCCTAATTGAACATACACTTTACGCGTAATTTTGTAGCTGTAACACGTACGAAAATAAAAAATATAAAATATAATAAATATAAGAAATATAAAAATAAATCTATAATAATTTAGGCATATTGTATTTAATTTCCATTATACATTTTTCTTTTTTGCTGTTGGTTTCTGTTGTACATACAGGAATGCATAGGCTCAGTTGTGGTTTGTCCTTACCAAGACCAAACCCATGTTATTAAATGTCTCCTATTACTTGTTAGCATCATTTATTGGCTTATTTTAATTCTATGGTTGTCCAAAGTCCTAATTTTAAAAACTCTTCAAACTTAGTGTCCTTCTTTGCAATTTTCTAAAGATTTAAGTTTCCCTTAGAGAATGTTCCAGATGAACAGTATGAAAGCTGAAGGTAAACATTGTCAGTCAAAGGGATTTGGAGGCAGAAAATACTTCCACTGGAAATGTTTTTGCATAATTTAAACTGTAGTTTAAACCATGTTTGTGGTTTATACCTAGCAGGGTGAAGTTGATAATCCTATTTAAGTTTATAAATTATGAATGTTGTGTTTATTACTACAGATATAGGCAACCAACTGCTATATGTTGTTAGGCCTAACTTTTACCTGGCTGGTCCTCCTTGGAATCATCAGAATGGGTGCCAAAGCATATGTCTCCCCACTACAGAAAGTCTCTTAAGGCTCATTTGCTCACATTTTCACTTTTAAGTGAAAATGAGTAAATGCTATCTGAGGTACATTTGGGCACCTTAAGCATTCGGATGTCATTGGCAGACAGGACACCTGTGTCAAATCTGTGGTCTCCTGGAGTAGCAGCTGGGACCAGCTGGGATACTTGCCTTGCTAGGGAAGACGGGCTGCCTGAGGCTGGCAGGGTCACAGCCTGGTTAGCCAGTACCTGTCTATGCATGAGTTCAGTCCTTAAACCAGGGTACACATGCAGCTCTCAGTGACTATCCAGGAAGAAAATAAGAGATGGTAAATTTAAGAGAAGTCCCATGAGCTCTGTCAAGTGCAGCAGAGGCAGTATCCAGGCACATGTATGTGTTTACTAGGTCTTGACTATTTGATTTTTGAGTTCCTCTGGCATTTCTTCTACTATTTAAAGAGGGCTTGAGTTTATATGGGAATGATTGAGTTTAATTTCAGTGATGAGGGAAGATGGGATAGGTGGGACTGGTGATGGAGATGGTCCAATAGGTGTTTGACATTCATCCTCAGTGCTCTTAGGACCCACAGCTCTGTAGTTTATATCACAGCTCTCTTTATATCACAGAAATCCTACTACTCCCAGGTCAGCTCTGCATGGCAAAAGAGTCATAGTGTGAATTCATATTCTACTTTTGTAACTATATTGCTGTTGATTTATTTTCTCTAGCACAACTACTGAAGAAGAGATCCAGAGCTACTTGAAGAGTGTTTCAAGTACCTACGTGCTCGGACACTCTCATTCCATCATGATTATCACTGATGCTTAGTTTACACC